AAAAAAAAAAAAGACTCGAAGACGAAGGATAAGGCAAGTGTATATATAATTATATATGAAAATGAATATACATCGCCTTTTTTTTTTCCTTTTATTTGTTTCTCGTTAAATCTTTTTTTTTGTTTCCTCTGCGTTGTTTCGGCTCTTTCTTTATTATTATTGATCTTATATCTTCATTTGGAGGAAAAGTGTTGTTTACTTATTTACTGAGGTCTCTCTTCTTTGGAAGGCGTGAGGGGCAAAGTAAATGATCTCTTATTATTACTCCTACTACTATTGATACTCCTACTACTACTAATAATAATAATAATACTAAATCTAACTTTTTATTCTTCCAATTTCTCTTACCCTTATATATTTGTATCTTTATTTGTGTTTGTGTGTGTGTGTGTGTTTTTTTTTTTTTTTTTTTTTAATTAATTTCTTTACGATGTGTTCGAACGCTTTTGATAAATTTATTCCCCAATTTGTGCTTTACTATTAAAAGCAGTAATAACAGCAACCCACATTTTTTTCACCACTCTTATCATTCTCTCCGCTCTCATATACAGAAGAAATAAAATATAAAGAGCCTAAACAAAAAAAGAAAGAAGGAAAGAGAGAGAGTAAGGAATATATATATATATATATATATATATATATATATAAATCAATTGTAATCTTACCTTCAAATACGTTGAGGGAAAAAGAGACAAGTTGTCTCTCTACAATTGGTTAAATGGAGGGATCATTTGATTTGATAAGAAATGAAATAAGAAGAGACGAGGTCCAATCAAAGTTGATGTGCAAACACAAAAAAAAAAAAGAAAAGAAAGCTGATTCATCACTGAGTTTGGGGCATGTGTAAATACATGCACTCGTCTATTTTAAATAAAGAGAAGAGAAAATATTTCCCTCAATATATATACTTATATATATATTAGGAGAGGAATAAGGGTGGAGATCTAGGGTATGTTGTTAATGGATATTTCTCAAATTGGGAAGAAAAAAAAAAAATGGAGTCTTGGACACTATATATTTCTGGTTTCGTTTGCTTATTTTTGTTTTTCTTTTTTTTCCATTTATACGTTTTTTCTTTCTTTATAGATAATTTTTAATCTTGTTTTATTTTTACGTTCGACCTTGGACTTTTACTTGTTCTTTATCTCTCTCTCTCTCTCCTTTTCCATTCTTCCGCGTTCTGAAGATCTTTTTCTTTTTTGTTTTTTTTTGTTTTTCTTCAAAATCTTAGCAAGACTTCCAACGCGGAGTTTATATGATGTAATAGGGGTGCGAGAGAAGTGCATCAATCGATTGAATTTTTTTTTTTTTTTT